CACTAGAAGGTGGCTGACACTAACTCCGCGAGACCTTGCAGAGACCTTCCACTCCATCTTGGATTAACCTGCCATCAATAAGAACAAGATTTGTCTACGTTAGACGGGCTACGCATACCGAATAAACTCCAACTGGCTCGTCCACTTCGCTCGTCGATGGCATTAACACGGCAGATAACTTTTTACGTCTTAGGTTACATCAATCGTGTACACTGTGCTAAAGCATGGAAATCCATATTTTATCAATGACTAACCATTCGTTTAGCATTCTCCACTTCACCGAGGCAACATCGATCAGAGAGAATTTTTTGTTCTCTGTGTTTTTTTTTAATTACGCTTTTATACGCAACACCATTAACATTAACGCGATGATGATAAATGATGTTGAAGCTGTCATAATTTTTGTAGAGACATACAGTACAATAATAGGATAAACTTGAGCTCGTTGTAAAATTTTTATTCTAAGATGTTCTTACACTATAGTGCGGAACCTTTTTTGAGAAATAGGTCAAATTTTGTTCGTTATTTTTTTTTTTAGTACTAGCTCGTGGGTCACTAAGTCAGTCAGTGGCGTCACTTGAAAAGGGGAGGGAAGGATGGTTAAAAACTACTTTTTTTTTGGTTCTCACTTTTATAATTTTCTAAAAAGTTTACGTTTCCCTTTTGTTTTACAACGTTTACTTTTGCAAGTGAAGAGCAAAAAATAAGTGTCGACGTTAAAAAATTGATATAAAAAGGGTGACATCATGCCCAGTCACTCCTGCATTATACATTAGATATATATACTTTATTTCTTAATATTTTTTATTGTCTGTTCTCTCTTTTATTATATAAAAAACTAGCAAGCTACCCATCCTGAGAGTGGTATCTAATGTGTTTTTAGTGTTTATTACATCTGTTTAAGCGCTACATAAGATTTTTTGAACACAAGTAACTCATATAACATTTAAGACTTAAAATACCTATATGTATACATAACCAAATCGTAAAACACAATTATGCATTTATTTCTCACTTTTAAGCTCTAACCGGAAACTTGTAATTTTCTTAACATTTTTCGAAAAGAGGGGTTCGGAAAATAATTAAAATTCTTTTATATATATGTTGATAAGTTTATAAAAATCAACGCGCGGGTCATAGGTTCGCCATCATTGCTATAGAGAACGCTGTAAATTGTATAATAGTTGAAAAATTTGTTTCACAGCTAAATCTGATACAATTGATTTAATGATCGTAGCCTCCCCTTTGCTGTGTGATCTTTCTTGAATTTTCATCATCTAAATCTAATAGCTTCAGTTCGACAAAATGGCGAGAGAAAGTCACACATTCAGAGAAGCTTGGAAATTTGCGGAGAAGCCAAGAATATGAGAGGAAACAATGGTTATTCCGTGCTCTCTATTGCCAACGTGTTCTAAAAATATCCGGCCGCGAATTTCCGTAAGCAACATTTCGACAACGTTTCGTAGGATTCCATAAATAAACTGAAAGCTCGTGATGTGAGTTTTGGTACCAAACAGAGAGAAGTTTGATCAAATTTTCTTCATCCTCGATTAAACACGTTCACTTCCATAGTCCTCTCCTCGAGTACAGGACAAATTATAAAGTAAAAGTTCCAATTACCTTTACAGTGTTAAGAGATTCGTTCAATACCGAGCTTGTGTAACAATTTGAGAACATTCGAAAGATCAACAATTTGAAAGAATCGAATCCCACGATTGAAAGTCACTCTGAAGTCCCGTAATTGAAAGAAATTTGAAATAAATAAATATATAAGTAAATATTTATAATAGATATTTATAAATATAAATATTGTACATACGCATGTTATATCCATTAGACTATGTTTCGTACGCCTGGTCGAGTGAACTCGAGTGCAGCTTGCTCAAGCTTTATAGCCTTGCTCGACTGATACTTGCTCAACGTACGCAAAGCTATCAATAATTTGTAGGATCACGTGCAATGCAGTTTTCGAAGGGAAAGAGATGCATAATTTCCTGTTATTTAATCAGGCCTACATTACGTCAGTGACTGTTGTCGTGTTACGCAATGCTGGGGAAAGTGCAAACCGTCTTGACCACTGTTATGGTTGCTATTTCTCCGATCTGAAATGAAATTGTTTGTTGATCGCCGCTGAATTCTGTCAGCTAATTAAACGACTCGGTTCACGGTTCTATTAATCCTACGTCTTCATAAAACGATTGTTCGATCAGGCGCGGCGATTACGATCCAGCTTTTCCAATGATCGACAATTATATATATCGCGTGAAATTCTCCGAGAAAGAACGATTAAACTCGAATGTCGTCATCACATGAGCGGATAAACGAAACAAAGTTGGAGGAAACCTTTTTCGAACAAAGAAAGTGAGAGTCAGACTTTGGAGTGGTATTTCTAACAGCGATTTTTAAACCTAAACGATTGCCTTGGTTGTTGATCTGTGTGTGATTCCTCCGTTAATGAAATCACATTCAAATTTGTACGATTCAAAACGTGTTATTATCCTCTAATCGATTATGTTCAAGAGCAATATAATTACGTGTTTGTGACGTCAAATGTTTTATTGAAACGAACTGACGGGAACAAAAAAAAGACGAAAAACATCTGAAGTCAGCAAAAAAATTACAAGCTCTTCGTCGAGATAAATAAAAAATCGATCATTAGGAGATCACGATTACATTTCAGACCGAGTTTGACTTCTTAAATTCGCGAGCAGTTTTACTTCTTACGAGAAGAAAAGATTAATTTATTGGTGAATTAATTTAATCCGTGTATGTTCGAGGAATCGTCCAGGCGTCAGTGAAATAGGATTAATGTTTCATGAGGAAAAAAAGAAAATTGTCAGTCAATTAAAAGGTTGACGTGTTTTATAGACTATCGATGACGCTCAAGTTAATTATTCTGTCGTCTAGAGTATAAATAAATAACATTTTAAATATTCCACTCTTGCACATGTAGATAGAGAAACACTCGATTAAATACACCGAGTACAAAGGCTTAAATAAATAGAAATACTTTAATATTTTTAATATTTACTTTAATATTTTTAATATATACTTTAATATTTTTAATATAATATAATACTTTAATATTTTAATATTTTTAATATAATATAAGTTTAGTATTTATTGTAACATAACATAGGGTGGGCCAAAAATCACTTTCTACTAAAATAAATCCATAATTTTTTTACTACATAAAATTAATAAAATTAATTGATGTTTTATTTAAAAAAATTAGTTGATGTTTTATTTAAAAAAAAGGAAAAATAGGTGGGAACCGGATTATAGAAAAAAAAAAGATAATTGTGTTTAGTATAAGATAGAAAAACAATTTTTGGTAACAAACTTTTGATATTCTTCTCCATGGGAGATTGCCCAACGTTAGAAACTATCCTCTTGAATTCTAGATCACTGAATAACTAATTAGAATACACGCAAGATTATGAAAATTGGAAAACATTTTCTTTTTTTTTTCTTTTTAATAGTAGAAGTGACTATGCATGAATTGATTGATAATTTTAATGACTTTTCGTTTGTTAATGTCTCGACATAAAAAGTAAAAATCGTTTAAGAACGCGTTTAGAATGCAATAAAGAATCACGAAAGATTTTACAAGCATGATGCCGTATTACGAGCATCTTTGTGTTCATTGCGAGACGAATTTTCGGACTTTGTCAGGCTTTCAAGCACGTTTATACGGTAAGACATATTTATTTTACATGAAAAAAAAAGAAAAAACTGTTCTCGATTCCCTCGATGTCAATATCATTGATCGATATCATAAAATAATTATCATAGAAATACATAATATCAAAAAATAACTTAACGATCTTTGTTTGCATAGATCAAAGATTTAAATGGAAATTTCTTTTTTCTTGGCATATGTACTTGGCAAACATGTTAGTGGAATTTGAATCGCATGACAATTAGAGAGATATACTTATTTATATTATATTATATATTTATCATTTAGATATTAGTCATTTTAAATCTAACAGCGACAATAGCAGTGCCTTCGTTTTTCAAAATCATTCAAAATCATTGCGTTCTGATATCACAAAGATATCCAAACGATAAGATCTTGCACGTTTTATTATATAAGATTTGTCTCATAACGATAGCACAAACGTGAAGAAAGAAAAACGTAGTTTGAAAGTCCAACTAACTCCACGTCAATTACAACTGTAATTCTTGGAAAATTTAGAGCAACGTTTAAGCAATCTCGTTCGGGGAATAAGAAGCTTTAATTGCGTGATTAAAACGATGATCAGCAGTGAATTAGTGCAATTTGTTCGTTTGAAATCTTCGTGCAAAAAATTCTCTGCAAAAAATAAGAAAAAAAAGAAAAAAGAAGGAGAAGAAGAAGAACGAAATGTCAGGTTGCTAAACACGTTGCGTATCGAATGACAGAAAGATTTATTATAAAAATATCAGCGCGTCGCTGTTGGTTGTCACGAATAATTGAATAAAATATCCACACGACTCTCCCGTACGAATTTACATTTGGCAAATCATCAAGCTCCTCAGACCGCTGTTAATTGTCACATATTCATCTTATACACTGCACACAATCTTCACGTTTTACGTTACACTCGCATTATATATTTCTCGCGACGATACGCGACATTTTCACATTATTCGTTTTGCTCCCTCGTGCGTCGATTTTTCGTGTTTTCTCGTTAATTAGCTCGCGAACGAGGCAACCTCCTGGACAACGACTTTACACTGTCGATGCACCAAAACATTCGCGATGCATTTTGGCGAATCGTCGACGACAGTTCGAGAAAAGTGGAGGGTAATTAAAAAGTGATTAGCATCGACGATGAAGCGGTGAACCGGGAAAGGGACCATCGAGGAATATCGAAGTCCGCTAATCGGCAAGAACGCGCGTGGACGAAAACGTGGGTCGTTCGAAGGACGACAGGTGGAGGGAAGGTGAGCATGCCACGGAAGAAAGAAAGCTGATTAGTCGAACGAGGACGGGCGTCGTAGCTGGATCGTGGAGTGGAGGGACACGAAGACAGTGTCTGCGAGAGAATGAGAGGGAGAGAAGGACGTAGGTCAGCTGGTTAAGCTCTGTGAGCTCGATACGACTCGGTTCTGACTGCTTCAGTCTCGCGTCAGGACTCGAATGTGGCGGAAGGAACAACGATCCTGCTCAGTTGGCCAACGTTCCTCTTCAGTTGACCACTGGGTCCTCGCGGCTCGAAACGCAGATCTCATAGTTCTCACGTCCAGTGGAACAACGCGTGCAACTACATGTGTGTTCCTCCACTCTTGATACAAGTAACTCTGTTGTGTTGTGTGTTGGTGACGATTATCTCTTAAATTTTTTTTTTTTTTTCTCTCTTGAATCTTTTGCACATCGATCTTGCGCAAAGATCAACGATACGACACGTTTACGCTGGTCTTGATGATACCGATCAGCCGCGAATTTTCAATGATCTCTGGCCAGGATTACACCTGAGGGGATATCTGCGAAGAAAACGGGAAGAAATCGAGGGAGGAGGATTCGTTCTACAAGATCGTTTGGGCTAAGTCGAAGGTACGACACTTGGATCTTATCGTGTTTTGATATCAGAGAAATATTATAATAATAATCGTGAGACAATTACGAAGAATTGTTCGAATTTTTCGAACTTTGAAAGAAGAACGCTAAAATACTTAAATATGGCCATTGTGGTTAATTTGGCAATTGTAATTTGCATAGCGTAGTATAACATTTGTAAAAGCAAAAAATCTAATACGAGTCATAATGTACCTTACTCCATTTGCATTCTCCATGTGATAAAAATTCAATTGAATTGCTCCAGAATAAATTCTGAAATTCGAAAAGTGATTTAATTATATATATTATAATTATATTACATTTAATTTTTTTATTATAAAAAATTGTATTATTATATATTATAATATTATTATAATTATATATAATTGTATTTATAATAATATATAATTATAATTATATAAATGAAAATTATATAAATAATTATAATTTTATTAAATTAAATTTACATTTTTATTTAATTATACAAATTATATTATATAATTATAATAAAAATTAATATAAATATATTATAATAAATACAATTATATATTATAATAAAAATTAATTATATATAATTTTTATTATATCTTATTATAAAAAATTATATATAATTATATTACCATCACGGAGCAAAGAAATTGGCCATGGGTTTTCCCGCGACTCGACCGAAAAAAAAAAAAAAAAGAACGGGCTCGAGATCGCGTAAGGTGGCTATTAGTCGAACGTCCGGGCGCTCCCTCATTTCTGTTGAAAAGTGAAGAAACCGTGTGGACTTTACAAGCCGGATTCACCGCAGGAAATTCGAAAGCGATTGATGGCAAAATCGCGATCTTGGCCAACCACAATTATTGTCGATCCACGATGAATCGCGCTTGTTGTTCCTCGATTCCAACGTACTTCCTTGTAAATTACAATTTGTTGCTTCAACTTATCATCCGAATCGTCTCTGTAGTACGTTCAAAAAGTTGTAGGTCATCGACTTTATGTGAACAATTCTTGCTTCGACGATTGTTACGAAAGCGAGCACAGAGTGAAAAGCGTCGAGATCGCCGATCCATTCTTTTCGTTCTTTTTTTTTTTTTCTTTCTTTTTTCCACGGTCAAGAAATTATCGTCGGTGCTGGAGCATTATACTTACTGCCTTTCGGCACATGAGAAATTTGATTCCACTGTTTTCACTGTAATTACAAGTGTAAGACAGAAGAAAGAGCCGTGTTCACATCCTGCTGCGTTGAAACAATCGCGTAAATCACCGCGCTCGGTTATCAAATCGATCGTGGTCCACGACCGATCGATCGCGCCACTGCGTTACTGATCACGGTCAATCCTTTCACAACAAGTGTAACACGAATAACAAAATTGGATGCAGTATTATAAATTGTGTATTTCAGACTTTATCTTAAACTTTGTTTACATTTTAACTATTTACCATTGTAACGCAGAGTTTTGTACAAATATTACGGAAATTTTTACGGAAACGAAACTGAAGAAATCGAAAATAAGAATTTGTGGAAGTTTCGTTTGATAAAATGGAATTAATTGACAGACATTTAGTTTTGAAACTAGTCCCCTTTTAGAGGACAGACTTTTTCCATCAATCTTTACATTTACAAACAAAGGCTTACATTTATCGTTAGTCACGGCACGAAAAATAAACGATTCTTCTAGGACTTATGAACAAGCTTCTCGTTCAGTGCGATAACAAAATAATAAATATTTTTTAAATAAATAAATATAATAAATAAATATTTATAAATATTAATATTATCAATATTAATAAATATTTATAAATATTAATATTATTAATATTAATAATTATTTCCTAAAAATAGGATATAGAAAAATTTTCATACGCTTGAAAACATTAAAGGATTCATCCATTGTGTTAGTTTTGGGTGAGAAAAATTCATTCAGTCATTTTACAAAAAGAAATTACATTCTCATTACATATTCCGAATTTCACGCGTAAAAATAATAATAAATGTATACGAAGTGACATGGGTGAGAAAGTACTATATATACATTTATGTGTATGGTCGTACGTGATGTTTCAAAACAATATACAAGCATACAACACATACGTTCGAGACACATGGAGGTTGATCTACGACGAAAATCCTTTTCATTGTCTTCGTTCTAAAGGACTTTCTCATTTTGACAGAAAGTGACAAACAAACAGTAAAGCGCATTTTTCTCCCCCCTTCCCCCCGTTATATTCGAATCGAGTGTGAAAAATCAGTGTGAAAACAAGCTTCCCATCTTCTGAAGATTAACATCTACATTAGCTCCTGACATCTCGTGTCCGATAACGACGATTACTTTCCCAATTATTAATTTCTAATTGATTTTATTACACTGCCAAAGAATCAATCACCGCTCGTACATAATTTCCTTCGCGGTCAAAGTGGCTCTCAGCTGTCTCTTCGTACGCGCGAAATAGAAAGTTGCTTACGAAGAGGGAGTTGCAGCTCGGTTTTGACAATTCTCTGGAATACATACGCATTGAAATCGAACGCATTCCCCTGTGTTACTTAACACGCATATTCCCCGACAATTTTCTTGCAATTACGATGCTCACGCGACCGATGGACCACCGTGGAAAGAATCAGCGTCGAAATATTATAATATAATATATTATTAATTACATTAATATATAAATACATGTGAAAATAAATATATAAATATGTATAAAAATAAATATACAGATATATATAAAAATAAATATATAAATATGTATAAAAATAAATATACAAATATATATAAAAATAAATATATAAATATGTATAAAAATAAATATACAAATATATATAAAAATAAATATATAAATATGTATAAAAATAAAAGTATAAATATACTTAAATAAATTTTATATATTAATATATATATATATATATATGTATAAATAGTAATATATTATTAATTATATTATTATATTAATATAATATAATATAATACTAATAATATTATATTAATATAATTAATATTGTAAGATAATATAATATAAATATAATTATTATAAAGAATGTCTGCTCGGAAACTTTTTGCTCGTCTAATTAACAAAGAATGCGTGAAGTGAATCTTCGTCGAGTTTCGGAATTTCACTCTCGATTAACCAGAAAATTTTACGAAAGAAAATGAATTTCTCCGTCCGCGATCGAATGTTACGCAGAAATTTTTGCGGCGATTTGTCGATCAAGATCGTAGGAACAATGAGCAGTGGCCATGGCCTCCTTCTGTTCGTTTTATGACTACGGCTCCTAGATAAGATTCACGCGGGATAAACCTTTCGTCGCGGAAGTTTGAACAAGTGTAACGACGTTCAGCTCTTGTTGTCAGTCAGATAAAATCTGAGAGAGAGAAGTTAATTATCGTTTTCGTTGGAAACAAGTGCCGAGTCGAAAGAATAGTTTTGTACGAAGAAAGGTATCATAGAACGGGTAGTAGCCGGCGAATTATACTTTCTCGACAGCACAAAGAAGAATGTTTAAAATGATACGACCATCATCGCGATTGTCATCCCTGTGAATTTCTCTCGGTTAAGAGTGAAAATTGTGCTTGCCTGATGTCGTCGTACGTTTCTAATCTTCAAACTATCGTTAAATCTGTTGTTTCTTGAAATTATTAAATTTGCTATCGTTATCAATTTGCGCCAAGTGCATTCTCATCGTCGTTGGCTTCTTTCTGTGTAGATTTGAAAATCTATCGTTATTCCATTGTCAGATCTCTTTAATGGAAAATTTCTTCCATGAAATTCGCGTGAATTTCGAAATGATTCGAATGGATGAAATCGCTACATCAAAGTCTAGGTCCCTCGTAATCGCGTGCAACGTGAAATCGAGAATACGATCGGCGATCTGAAATTCTCAGAATTATCAATTCGAGGAGAAAATGAAGAGCGTGGAATATTCTCTTCCACCGCGAGAAGCGAAACGGTGGCAAATTCCAGAGGACGAACGAATTTCATATGTCCGATAGAACGGATTAGTCGTGATCCGTAACGATTCTAGAAAGTAAAACGAGCTAGTTGAACGCGAATATTCCAACAGCGTGAGCAAAAGTCAAACAGACAGAGAAGAAACCTGTCGAAAATTCTCTAGATCGAAATATTTTACAAGTTACTCTACGCGTGTGATATTATTGCGCTGGAATGACGTGCTACGCACGTCGAGAAATTTTTTTTTCCCAAAATTGCGACATTTTCTCAATTCTAAGTATATTTAAACGTAACCGAGGCAAAGCAAATGATAAGTTTCTTACTTCTTAGTCATTTCATTCTGTCCAGTGACATCGTACCGACGAGTTCGAAAGGAAAAGAAAAACGACGAATTATTGTATACGGTTCGGTCGCTCGTTATGGTCCGCGCAACCAGTTGCCAGCGCAAGGTGGTTAAGCATTTCGAAAAGCATATCGTAACTATTACGATTACAAATTACACGTACATTTAAACAGACAGCCAAAATGTCCAAATAATGATTATTCATTACAGCAGCATCTAGTTAGAGACTAACGCTAATTACACACTCGCGGTATTTAACGAAACTAACGCTAATTAATAGTAGTTTAAAGCTGCTCTTCGTGGTGCATAGCAATCTTCTTTTAAATATATGTCTTCTTGTAAATATCTCTTTTAATCTCTACCTATAAATTTTACTCCTACAATTAAAATACGATTAATGGGGAAAACATTTCAAAATGTTTTTCATAACAAGTTCAAATATTTTCGCGTTGAGCTTGATTTGGATTTATGGAGTACACGTATTGAACTTGATCGCATCGTTATTCACACATAATAGGTGGAACAGGGCACCTTGATGAAAGACAACCTCGTTACTTTTCGGGCCACGTTCAGCATCGTGGCGCGCATGCCATCGTTGTGTAATTTCGCGTTATCGTAAACGTGATCCCTCCCCCAAGCCGCTTGCACAATCGCATAATTTTACGACGGATCGGCGAACATTGTGTAACGAAAGAAACGAAAAGATCAGCGAATCGAGACG